CACTCTACTTTTCCTGTCTTTTCTATTTATGTAACTTTCATTTGTTTCTTTACCCTTCTGGTGTGTCCTTTTCTCCTTTAACTCCCTATACTACAGAACTGACATTCACATAACCCTCAGAGAACTGTATGTTTTTCACTCCTATGCCTGCCTGTCCCCCCACCTATCACCACAGTGTCAAGAATAGTGCCTGGCACATAATAGAACTTGAATCAAAGCATGACTATTCACGCTATTAAAGAGATAAGAAAGATTAAATTATTTTATTAGTATGACATCATCAACTTTTCCCCTACATATTAGAGATCATGTTAAGTAAAAATAAAAATAATAAATAATAATAATTGTTTTTATTACTGTCCATTTTAAAAGTAAATCCTAATGTGTTAAGCGTGGAAAGTGTGTTTTTTGGTTATTTGTTTTTAATAACTAAATCTTAACTTGTGGCTTTAAGATGAACCGGTGGAAAGGGGAACATTTTTAATGATTGTACAGAGTTAAAACTGTTAGGAGGAATGTATCTAGAGATCCATACATTTAATTGAATTTTATGTATACAAATATCTTATTCTTAATGGAAAAAAAAGTGCTAACCTGGTTAAGCACCACTAGAAAATATATTGATAATTCCCACATTATCTTGAGTAATTTGTATTAATTTACCTCATATTTGTAGATGAAAAATTAATGTTCAATGAAGTGTAATCGCAAACTTTGGAAGGCCAAGGCAGTAGGAACACTTAAGCCTGGGAGTTCGAGACCAGACTGGGCAAAATAGGGAGACCCCCATCTCTACAAAAAATTTAAAAATTAGCCTGGTGTGGTGGCGCACACGTATCATCCCAATTACTCAAAGGCTGAGATGGTACCATTGCTTGAGTCTGGGGGACAAGGTTTCAGTGAGCCATGATCATGCCACTGCACTCCAGCATGGGCAAGAGAGCAAGACCTTGTCTTAAATAAATAAATAATAAAAGTTTATTTTCTATAAACTTCCTTTCAAATCTAAAATACAAAAAAATATTAAGATCCTTTATTTGGTTTTCACTCTTTATATTTTTATGTATAAGTTATTCTTATATTGTTCTTTAAATTTTTTATTTCAAAAGGCAAATAATTTCTCAGAGTATTAAAACTTGTATGTTTTGAAGTTTTAGTTATATTTGTCAATTGCAGAATGAGGATTAAAACACAATACTTTCTATTCCTTGCTCCATTCTATTCCTCCTAATTTATACCAGTCACCTCAGGCTATTTTTCCTCCCTCTTTCTGTGATCATTTCATCCTTACACTAAACTTTTCAATTAAAATCCAATGTGTTACTTTTCAAATCCTAAGTATAAAATTATTAGCCTGGTTTCCCAAAATAAAGAGTAACATTACTTTATGTTTTCCAACAAAAGTAAAGGGGAAAGAATTACTAGATTCCCAATTGGAATAATTTCCAATTTGCATTGGGGAAACCACAAATATGAAACAAAGCTTTCAAACATGAAATACAACTAAACTTAGCAATTCATCATACACTTTTGAGAATGCAAACTCTTCTACGTCTGTGCTGCTTTGTGATTTCTGGTCAAATGAATAGTATCTTCGGCATTCTTTCTGACTTGTAAACTGACTAAAGTAAGAATACTTAAGGATTTAAAAGAAACTAGTTTAACAAGTTGGGATGAGTAAACTTTAACCAGTATTGAGGTGAAGAATCACTTGGTTAAATCTTCGCTGCAGGAAGTAAGAATTTCCTCGTTCTGGCTAATTTAAATTAAGTGGGAAACAGTATCGAAGTTTCAAACCTAAGCAACACCCTCTCGTACTTGGAGAAGTTTTGTCTTTCAAGAGGTGACGCTCTTAATTCTGAGTCAGTACGAGTCTGGTCTCAGCTGCTGCCATTCATCTCTTTCAGAGGCAAGCCTGAAATGCACCAGAGGTTTTCATGAAACATTCTATGGCCCTTGATATGCTTTTCTTTGGCCAGTTATACTTGTCCTTATCATATATGGCCCAGTAATTCATTTGTGTCTATTCTTAAGGAGAAGTTGGCTTCAAGGTAGAAAAACTAAAATATATTTTGTACCAATTACCTCTTCAAAGGGCTTCACCAGCTGATCATTCCTCTGTGTGCTTACAGTTTATTAGGTTGGTGCACAAGTAATTGTGAAATATATTTTTAATGGTGAAAACAGCAATTACTTTTGCACCAACCTATTAGCTACACCGTCATTGCCTTCTTTGACTTACCTGAGTTTTTTATTGTTCTTGTTCTCAATCTAGGCTTTTTCACCCACATGAAGACTTTAACCCATGTTCCTAAAATGTTTTTTCCCTCCTTTCTATTACAGTTCTCAATTCAAAATCCCCCTCACTATAGGTTCTAACATTTAGTTAGAACCTGTCTACACAGGGTCCATGGACTCTGAAAGCCTACACTCAAAGGTTAATTCCTGCAGGATTATTCCTAATTTCCCCAGCTCCCACACTGTCTGAACAACCCTATACCCACACTTTCCCCTCAGGTAGGCTTCTAGTTTTAGTTTTGCTTATTTTCAGATTTATAGACCCATTTCTACTGTTAGATATGAATGATTTGAGGTGCAAAACTGTGATGTCCTTATATGCACTTACCAGCACCTCAGTAAACACTGTGGCATTCAATCCTTAATGAGTCTTTTTGTCAATGTGACAATTGACATTCTCTTTTATTTTTCAGCCTCTCCTTCATTTTGAAAAAAAGTTTTTGGTAAATTAGAAACATACCTTAATTACAATTAATAAATGAACTATAGAAAAATGTTCCAATGACTAATAAGTACATAATTATAAACCTTTATCAATTTTCTTTACTATGTAACAAATTACCATAAGCTTAACCACTTAAAATGCATCTTAATATCCATTTCTATCCTGTAGATAAGAAGTCTAGGCAAACTCAACTTTGTTCTCTGTTCAGAGTCACAAATGGCAAAAGCAAGCTATGTGTCCAGCTAGGCTTTAATCTGGAGTCTGTGATGAAGAATTGTACTTCCAAGCTCATTCAGGCTGTTGATAGAATTCAGTTTCTTGCAGAAAGTATGAAGGTCCCTTTTTTCTTGGTCACTGTGAATCAGGACTGCTCTCAACTTCTAGAGGAGTCTGGACACCGAATCTCTGACTTTTCTGCTACTAGGAAGAGAAAATTACCTACTTCTAAATGGTTTTCATGTTAATGTATTGGATTAGGCTCACCTGGGTAACATTCCTTTTGATTAACTCAAGGTCAAATGATTAAGAACTGCTATAGTTTGATTGTTCATCTTCCCCCACTCCCAAACTCATATGTTGAAAATCAAATTACAAAAGTGATGTTACTGGGAGGTGGGCTTTGGGAGGTGAATAGATCATGAGGGTGGAGCTCTTTATAAAAGAGGCTCTCTAACTCTGTCCTACCCCATCCATCATGTGAGGATGCAATAAGAGGTATTGACAATCCCATTACTGGGTTTACACCCAGAGGAATAGAAAGCATTCTACCATAAAGACACAGCACACAAACGTTCACTGCAGAACTATTCCCAAGAGCAAAGGCATAGAATCAACCTAAATTCCCATCAATGACAGACTGCATAAAGAAAATGTGGTATATATACACCAAGGAATATTACACAGCCATAAAAAATGAGATCATGTCTTTTGTGGGAACATGGATGAAGCTGGAGGCCATTATCCTTAGCAAACTAATGCAGGAACAGATAATACAAACAGTAGTGTGAAAGTTGAGTTGTTGAGTTGGGGGATTTCAAATAATCTCTTCTGTTCTTAGTAAGGTTAGCACCAAGGTGAGTGGAGAGAGTGTGGGCTAAGAATTAGTGCTGGGGTGAGTGTTGCCCTGTTGGAACAACATGGAAGAAAAGTGTTTTTAAAAGAAAAATAATTATCTGGTGTTATCAACAGTACAACTGAAATGAGGTAGTTCAAATTACTAACGGTGTTAATACGTATGGTTGAATGAATTTTCTCTAACTTTGCTCACTTCATCTAGGCGCAGAAGAAGACCTAGTAGGGCTGAAAGTTTGTTGGTTTGGTAGCCTGAATTTGAGACTTAGGGCTGAGAGTTTATTGGATTGGTAGCCTTCAAACTAAGGACTAGGAAGTTGACCATTATAGTGATAGAAAACCAGTTTATGACATGTAAAATGAAGTTCCACAGGTTTGTATGAAAGTATGGTTTTTAAGAGTTAGATATACTATGAGACTATGGAGATTGAGACATTTAATAAGTCAGAACATCAGAAATATAGAGTGAAACAGAAGTTAAAGTCATTTGAATTTATGAGCTCAAAGAATTAAGGATAGGTGTGACATCCACTTTGATTTTGAAATTGACCACAATGAAAAGATGAGTTGGGTGGAGAGGTCTGTGTTGACTCAGGCGCCTAGTCCCTCAACAAATGTGGGGAGTGAGCAACAGGCTGACCGTAACTAGGAGTGGCAATGTGTGGTATAGCTAGAGGCATGAATTTCAAGGAAATACATTTTTATAGTAGTGTGCAGCAAAAATTGTTGGAAGAATACACAAGTATTTGAAAACTTGTAGTTGGGAGTTGAAAGAATTCTGACTTAATATTAAAGCCAGGGAGAAGAAGAATCACTTGAGATGGCTGAAACAAAGTGATGTTTTAGATAGTGACATCCAGACTTCAGTAAGGTGATGCAGAAGCATTCCGTGAAGAGGACGAAGGTACAGGAGCATTTTAATGAAAAGGAGCAAGGAGGACTCACTGAAACCAGCTGGGAAAGAGGGTGCTAAAGAGATATTAAACCAGTGGAGGAGAGTGTGGTATGGGGTAAAGGGGGAGAAATCACACACATTATTGGCAAGGAGTAAAATAGGGGAAAGGACACGTGGTCACAGGGTGTTTATTGGTGCATGGAGTGGGGAAGAGCAGGATGCCATACTTACGGTTCCTGATCCTGTAATAAAATTTAATTGACAACGGACTAGCCTAATGTTCTGGGTTAGGTACACTTGGCGCTCCTGCCCAGCTTCTCGTGGACGCGGCTCTTTCTGCTCCTGGCTGCCACCCACTGGCTGGCCGCGGCCCTGGTCTGGGCTGCACCAGCCCTGGGCTGCACCAGCCTTGCGGCGGCTCCCAAGGCCGCCCCGCCCCGAGCAGCGTCCCCACACCATGCACCTTCTGCGGGACCTGCTGGCAGTGCCGGGGACTCTGTGGACTGCAGGCTTTGTGCTCACCTACAAGCTGGGTGAGCAGGGTGCCAGCAGCCTGTTTCCTCTTCTCCTGCTGGACCGCGGCGTTTCTGCCCCCGAGCTGGGACTGTGGAATGGTGTGGGTGTCATGGTGTGCTCCATCGCTGGCTCCTTCCTGGATGGGACATTGCTGGCCAAGCACCGGGAGCCGCTGCCTCTGCTGAAGTCAGTGTTGCGGCTCCGCCTTGGGGGCTTGGCCTGCCAGACTGACTTGCTCTTCCGCCTGGATACCCTGGGTGCCAGGTTGGGCCCTGGCACAATCTTGAGAGGGGCAGCCTTGCTGAGCCTTTGTCTGCAGCACTTCTTGGGAGGCCTGGTCCCCACAGCCACCTTCACTGGGATGATGCGCTGCAGCCAGCTGGCCCCCAGGGCCCTGCAGGCCACACATTACAACCTTCTGACCATTCTGCAGCTGCTGGGGAAGCTGCTGCTGGGTGCTCTGGCTGGAGCCCTGGCCGACGGGTTAGGGCCACATCCCTGCTTCTCCCTCCTGCTCATCCTCTCTGCCCTGCCCCTTCTGTACCTGGGCCTAGCATCCAGCACCTTGCTCTGAGCTGGGCAGCTGGACAGCTCAATAAAGCCACATGTGCTTGTGACCCCCCCAAAAAAGTCTATGTATTGTAGACATCAAACTGATGATTATATCAAAAACATGGTCATAAAATATATAATTTAAATTGGAGAAATACATAATTTTATAATGCTATTATGTCAATTTGTGAAATATATGCATTTATACATACAAAAGTTAGAAAATAAAAAGTAAAAATAGTTAAATTGGTACAATTGTGTACTCTCCCCCTTCAGTAAGTATGTATCATAATGTCCTTTAATTTTTTTCAAAGGTAGTAAATAATCCGTTTTCTTTACTTCTTAAAAAGTAACCTTTGTTCTGAATTCCAGCTATTTTTTCTTCTATGAATCTTTTCATTAAGTAGCCGTGGTTTAGTATTTGTCTTCCCAATAGCTTCTTTATTCTTAGATTCTGTTTATTTCTTCTCTCCACTTTCAAATTCCCCTTTTTCTCACAGTGAATTCTAGCCTGTTTGTTTAACCTTCACATCCACTTTTCCTAAAGATTATCAATATCAGACAAACATAATGGGTTTAAAAATTATCCCAAGAATTTAGGAGTCACCACATGGATCTAAACAGAAAGATACATTTCTAAGGTTCGGCAGAAGGTACTTGCTTTGAATACAGACAAAGGTAGTTATTAAAACCACTAGGATGGCAATCTTATGTGTTTATAAAGTTTCTCCTGGAAATAATTAAAAGAGGGGCATATGAGCATCTTTTATGGAGAGTACCAAGGTGTGGGAGTCAAAAGAGATGGCAGATCAAGTAGGATAATCTCCATATCTCCAAGGCTACATTTTTTTAACAGTTGGGGACACGGGTTCTGACGATGGAAGAAAATATATAAAAATGTAACTTCACGGAAAACCTATCACAGTGGGTTAGCATACTATTGCTTAATTATGTGACTTAAAGAAACCTTAATAATTCAGGAATATAGACTACTAGGGTTCAGATATTTTATCCCCACCAAAACACATGTTGAAATCTGATCTCCAATGTAGCAATGTTGGGAAATTGGTCCTAGTGGGAGACATTTGGGTCATGGAGGCTGATTCCTCAGGAATGGCTTAGTGGTGTTCTCTCAGTAATAAAGGAGTTCTCACTCTTGAGAAACTAGATTAGTTCTTGCAGGAATGGAATAGTTCCCATAAAAGCAGGTTGTTAGAATGTGAGTTTCCTCCTCCTGTCTGGTCCTTCTTCGTGCTTGTCATCTTCCCCTTTGACTATCTACCAAGTTTTGACTGAGCACAAAAGCCCTCATCAGAAGTGAAGCAGATGCTGAAGTCATGCCCCTTGAATGTTCTAGCATGCAGAACTGTGAGCTAAATAACCTATCTTCTTTGTAAATTACTCACTCTCAAGTATTCTGTTAAAGCAACATAAAATGTACTAGGTCATAAAACATTACTTTGTTAAATGCTGACCCTAAGTAGCATTTTTTTTTGTATTTTCCATTATGAGCTACATAATAGCATTAAAAATGTTCCAAGTAGATTGATTATAGCATTCTTGGACATGCTATACTATTCATTAAATAAAATGAAGTAGGATTATATTTGTTCTTAAAGCTGTCAAGTGAACAAGAATTAACTTGATTCGGCTGGTATTTTTCTTTTTTCAATAAATTAATTTTAACTGCACAAGCTGTATGGTATGTTTCTCATCAGAAAATGCTAAACATGATGTGAAGGAACAGCAGTATTTGCAAAATAACAAAATAACACGATTGATGATAAAAATGCTACCACTATATAAAAGCTTCTTTACAATCTTCACAAATGTGTGGCATTGTCAGTGCTGAAATCAGTTTACCATAATATGCTTTACACTTTTAAAGAAGGTTTTAAACATTCTCTGAGTTTTAGACTTTATTATTGAACACAAAAGCCTCACAAGAACATCATAAAGCAGATAAGTTAATGCTCTGTTTGACAGCTTGAAGACAGTGGAAACAAAGGCATATATTTCTCTTTTTTATTGTGTGACATGATTTCATTTTCCTCATATCTTTTCATTTTGGTGGGGGCGGGAGCAGATGAAATCTCACTGTGCCGCCCAGGCTGGAGTACAATGGTGTGATCTCATTTCCCTGCAAGCTTCACCTCCTGGGTTCAAGTGATCCTCCTGCCTCAGCCTCCCAAGTGTCTGGGACGATAGGCGCACACCACCATGCCCTGCTAATTTTTTTATTTTTATAAAGACAAGGTTTTGCTCTGTTGGTTAGGCTGGTCTCAAACTCCTAGCCTCAAGTGATCTGCCAACCTCAGCCTCCCAAAGTACTAAGATTACTGGCCATTTTCCTCATTTCTTATTAGTCATAGTTAAAATTTTAAAGCAAGGAATAATTGAAACCTGTAAAAGAATGTTAACTGTTAAGCATTTACAAAAGTGGTTTAATAAAAACTTGTTTATTTTTTGCATTTTAGTGGGCTTCTATGGCTTTTTAAAACAAAACAGATATTCTAATGAGGAATTTATAAAGTAAAGAGTAAAACAAGTATTTGGTGTTTAAATAAGGCTTGAAATCTTTTGATGCCTTATTTTAAAATCTGGTGTGGATATTTTATTTCTGTCATATTAAGGCTTTAAATTACTTCATAATTATATGTAGAGAGAGAAAAAGATGGACTAAGGTATGAATCTGGGGGGGCAAACTTCTCATGGAGTATTATGATCTGCCTATTTAACTGACTTAGTAGCTCTGACTACACTCAATTCATCTTGTTTCCTTAGGTATAGTTTAATACCGTTTTAAGTGGGTTGTTGTCTTAATCATAACACTGGTTTGATCCAACAATATACTTTGCAGAATACCATGTAGGTTTAGCTTACTTCACTTTTTTTTTTTTTTTGCATCCAATTGACATGAGATAAGATCTTGGAATTCTCATTATTGAATTACAGAAATTAAGTATAATTTACTTACTTAGGGCTTTGAGAATTCTTGGTCTGACTTAACCTAAATTTCTAGTTTAATATTAAAACTATTGGTGAGATTGGCAGGAATAGGGCTGAGATAATAATGAATGGTGGTAGGAGGAGGGTTTGTTTTATGCTTTAAAATTGCAATTTTATTTTTATGTTATTAGCTGTTGGGAACATCATTAGTGATGTGGAATAAATTAGATATATATCAAAATACAGGTTGAGAAGAGCTATGATAGCCATGAATGTAGGTATAATGAGGCTATTATTTTTTTATATTTCTGGAATGATAGCTCATTTGGGTAAAAATCCTGTTACCAGGGCATTTCTCCTAGAGATAGTAGAGTAACAAGAATTATAGATATTAGTAATGGTAATTTATTTCTCATATAGGATAGTGATAATGTTGTGTTACTTATATTTGCACTGAACAGTATAAATATGGTTATTGTTAATATTAGGTAAATTATTAGATTTCATAACGATGGTGGGCTATAAATTAAAATTGCGATTATTCAACCTACGTGGGCAATTAATGAATAGGCTAGAATTTTTTGTTGCGTTTGATTGTATCCTCCTCAACCTCCTACTAGAAGGAATAGAACTGCAATTGCTAACATTATATTTAGGTCTATTGAGAAAAAGATTTAGAATATAATAGAAATTGGGGTTAGTTTTTATCATGTAGAAAGGATCACAGCTGATGCTGGAAAAAATCCCTTGTGTTACTTCTGGAACTCAGAAGTGAAAGGGGGAATTCCCAGTTTCACTGCTAAAGCTACAATAATTATTGGAAATGTTGTTTGGTTTACATATTTATAAATACTAGGATAAACTAGTTTGGTAGTAGTCATTTAACTTTAGTGACTTATAGGTCTGCAATGTTCCTGGTTACTGAACCTGCATAACTCAGGTTAGAATACTGAAGAAAACACTGGACTGGATATTAGGGCTCCTAGATTCCGTTCCTCCATTGTCTAAAACCCACTGTATAACCTTGCAGAAATTCTCTTGGCCTTGATTTCACATCAGTCAAAAGAGGAGGTTGATGTAGATAATCTCTTAGGTCTGTCCCAGCTCTAATAGCTATGATTTTAGCTTTCCAATTTATTTTCCATTTTCATGATTGCATGAAAACAATGCCTTGTGTTCTTCCCTTCTCTGTCAAATAAATACATTAACACAGAAATAAGTTTATTCAGTGGAAAGAGTAGATCAAAATATTTAATTAAAATATTTTTGTGCTTCATATTGTTGTTGAATCACATGGATTTCACTGAGAGATGGATAACTACTGGCAACAATTTTGGTCTAATATTGTTCTAGCATTACAAACTAACTGTAGTTCTAAAACTCCATCAGGACTGCACAGAGATTATAAGCTGCCTTATTTGTCAGCTTCATGGATTTGACCTGTATTTTAAAATGAGTCAGACAAATTATAAGTTTTTTCTATGAAAAGATATGGATATTACTATAGTATCACCACGAAGGAGGCAAAGCCTGTTTTTTTTTTTTATGTTTTAAAGTGTTTTTGTTTGTTTTTGACCATAAATGTATTTTCAAAATTCAAAAAGCATAAAAATGCCAATATTGTAGATTATTTATAATAATCCATAATATATAATTTATTATATTTATAATAATCCAAACTTCTGTATAATCAATGCATTTTCAGCACCATCTGAAATGATATCAGTTTATAATAATATACTTTGCATTTTTGAGCAAGTTTTGAACATTCATTGAATTTTCAACTTTATTAGTAATCTCAAAAGTCTCACAACAATACCATAAAGTAGACAGCTTTATGTCCCATTTGGAAGATGGAAAACATCAGGCAAAAAAAATTACATGATTTCTACAAAATCATTCAATAAGTTAGACACCTAATTAGAAATAAGACATAGAAATTTATTTTTTAAAAATCCACTTTTCCTTTTCTTAGATTTTCTTTTCACCTTTTTTATTTATTTCTCTCATTTGTGCTTAAATATCACTGAGCTCAATTGAATTAAGCACAGAAATATTTAAATTAGTACACACAGTTTCACAGATACTCATACACGAAAAGGTATCACAGTCTTATCAA